AAAAAAAAAAAACCTTTAGAACAACTGCCCCGTTCTTGGGTTGAAGATGAAGATAGCTCCATTAATAGTTTTGTGGTCAGATTTCCTTCAAATGTCTTATGGATTGTGACACGATAAACGTTGGTGTCATCAACAAACCATATTATTTGGTTGCTAAATATTTCACCATAATTTTGGGATGACAAGTATGGCTCTGTAGGCTCAGATGAATACAACTGCAAACCTTTCCTTATTCGCTCCCTCAGAACATATAAAGCTGGATTTGACTGCATAATCATCAATTAGCCCATGAGTAAATTGCTAGTAAAAGCTTCAAACCAGTCAAAAGAGACGTATATGATCAGAGTAATAGAACTACACTACCTTCATGATCTTGTTCATTGCCTGAGCTAGCAGTGGTTTTGAACCAGGGAACCAGTTGCCAAAAGCAGAATGCAAATTATATGCCAAATCAATCCCAATCATTACACCTGCATGAAATCCAGTCCCAGACAAATTGAGAACAGAGTACATGCAAGCACAGAAGAGCATAGAATGAAACCAAGGAAGTAATTACACACCAGTGGGCGATGGATATATTGACATATTATCAGTGGTATAATCCATGAATTTGGCTCGAGTATAACGCTCAATATCGTGGGAGTCATAATCTCCCCATCGGAGTTGTACATCTATCCAATACTTGTTGCTTGCTTTCTGGTCGAACATATCTTTTGATTCTGCTACAAGACTAGGTTTTGACATAGGCCATCTATGTGCAGCAAAGAGAAGAACATCCGCACAAGAGCTGTTCATTTTGTAACTCTTCCTTGGATGAATTGTTTCCTTCTGGACAGTTTCAATTTCCAAAGCATCTAGCTCCTGGTCGAGGACTTGACAAAGATCCATAACCACGCTCTCATGAATCTTTTGCCACAAATGTGCTCGGAATATCTGAATTAGAGATATCTTCAAGGTTGGAATCTTTCCATGCATGAAAATTCCAGTCAAATCCAACTGCACTTGGAAACCAACATACACATTGGCACGATTTATTGTAGGCGACCACCAAAGAGTAAACCTACGGTTAGGAATTTGATTGAGACCAGATCTTTGAGCATTTGTCAACTTCTTGTATTTCATTGACTCCTCAAAACCAGAAGCCTTTTCCCAGAAGAGACCTTCCCAGGTTGGAAAGCTGAAAAATTTAGACCAAGCAAAATCAATTGCTTCTTTTTTATATGTAAAAGTCCTTGCATCTAATCTATCAGTAATATTGCACATAATTGATATTCACAAGCATAGAATCAGATTGATGGTAACGTATTAATAATCCCTAGAGCCAGCCAAAGAACGTCATGCAGCAAAGTAATGTAATATTATTAATTGAACTTCAATTTTTCAGTATCATGTAAAATAAAATATATCTTTGGCACTTAAATACACATCCATTTAATTCATAATTATAACTAGTTATGAAAAATGCATAATTTGCCAACAAAATCGGGATTCAACAAACACGATAATGATGGATGCTAAAGTGTGCAATTGCAAACAAATAACAAATAAGATAATTAAGGAAAGTAGACTCACTAGGTTCCTTTGAATAACGTATGCTCAAGAATTCCCTCAACACCTCCAAGAGCTTGGATGACATCTGTACGGTAATTGTTTAAGTTCCACAACTTCCCGTCATGCCTCTGATGTGTCCACCAGAAAGGATTTTGTTTCAAAACTTGGTACTGCTTGAAGTCAGTTCGAACTCTCCAACCTTTATCGTATGCTAAAGTGTGTCTGTCTTTCTGAAACAAAGTATTTATACGTGGTATTCCCCTGTCCCATGAATCCTGCCAACATAATTTGGAGAAGCCATATAAATCCCCTATGATATTCTAGCAGTTGAAATTCTATATGGTATTCCACTCTAGCTGGTGTTCCACAAACTCAAAAAGAAAAGGGATACGAACACTCCACATAATTAAACATTGCATGCAAGCTTAAGAAAACGCAAATACTCACTTCCAAATCTTCAAGGGTTAAACGCCTATTTTGTGCCTGAGCTTCCTGCCTCTTCAACGCATACTCTGCCCAGACACGCTGTGAATCAATGAATTCACTCTCCCAGGGCTGCAGATCAAGAAAGAAAGAAAGACATCAAGAACTGAAGAAGAAATTATGTATAGCTGAAAGGACATTGTTTGATTTAACCTGTATGTAGCGGTAAAGATTAGGAATCAGCTGGTCCTCCTCATGGCTCATTCCACTCCTAAAGTGAGTTACACCAACATCTGTCTGCTGACTGTACCGAAGGTCACTTTGAGGGATCAATATGTGACCCATAGACAACATGCCAAGTCCTCCAATTTCTTTTGGAGTGTAAAAGATAACAGGAGGAAATCTGGAAACAGAGAATAATTGATAAGCACATTACGAAGCAAAAAATAACTCAACCAATTAAGTCTAGCTCATGGAACCAAACCACCATTTACCTGCTAGGCATTTTTGAATTCAGCCCAATCTTAATTCGAGTTTGAATTTTGTTTTCACATTTAACCAGCAGATCTAATAGCTCTTGCGTATGCACAGTTGCTTCGCGGAAGTATGTCATAAGACCTATTCAAACAGATGAGAAGACCGGTTCAACAAGTGACTACACAAAGAGGCCAACATTCAAAGAATACTAGTTGTATCATGGTGCAAAAGAAACATAAAAAAGAAGTACCTATCAATGCGGTGTTCCATTTATTAACGATTTTTGTGAACGTTGTTGAACCAGAGGACATAAGAATCTGCCTGACACGATTCTCAAAAACCTTCATGTGTTCATCATCAACTCGTAAGAAAGCAACTGCAGTTCGCTCTTTGGTCTGCTCGTTCTGTAGGTTCCAAACTCCATCCCTCGTATTGCTGAATGCTTCTTGGGTCATTCTTATTTTTGGAAGAATACGAACTTCAAATCCACACCTACAGGTAAGAAAGGAGAAACCTCAAACAAGGGCATAACAACCACCAACATACAAGCTCCAACCCTAGTCCCAAAGAAAGAGGGATTCAAGCTTATACAAAAAATGAAAAATTTAGAGGGAAAAAAAGCACAAGAACTGGATGGTGGAATGATAGTGACAGGATTTAAATGATGGCTAAATTAGCTTTTAACTTTTAAATCAGAAGGAATTAATCCCACTGCAAAAGGCATAGGATAGGAAAGACAAAAGAACAACTGGGTCAGAATGGAAAATAAACTAACCAGAGAAGAGTCAATCACGACACATGACATAATCTTAAATTACTAGCAAAAAACATACATGCTAAAAAGCAGATTGGGGTTGTCCTTGCTGTATACAGAAACAAAGCTGTTCTCCCATTCCAAGGTAGTGATGCTTCGAGGAAGACGGTTCTTCATGTCCCAGAAGACACTCCTACCAAGATTTACTGCAACAAAAATTTAAAAATGATCATTCTTGAGCTCATAGAGTTCAATTCAGAAAAAAAGAACATTCATCAGGTATTAGTGGAATATAAATACCATCGTGTTTCATTAGCCGCATCCTCGCATCTCTGGGCCAGCACTTCTTATTGTTGTATCCAACCATGTTTTCATTGTTAGGATCAGGGTGCTCAGTAAGATACCGCTGAATAAGGTCTCGAGCCTCTTCATGAGTAAATCGAAATAATATATGCACCTTATCAATATACCTTGAATAAAGTCGTATTGGATGTCGTGTTTCAACTTTTGTGTCCCAATAAGTGATAAACTCATTAGGCATCTGTGGTGGACCAGCAATCTCACTCGCTCGAGTCAATCCAAGAAGTAGTAAATCCAGC